TGTACTGACATTAGATTACACACAGGTGCACTCTATTTAGTCATTAGCACTCATCAGGCAACGTCTATGGGCAACTGACTGCACTCAGACCAAAGGGGCTGAATAATTACGCACACCCCACTTTGCAGTTATTTATTTGTAACAAATGTTTGGAGTCATGTATGATTTTGTTCCACTTCTCACGTGTGCACCACTTTGTGTTGGTCTTTCACCTGGAATTCCAATAACATTGATTCATGTTTGTGGCTGTAATGTGACAGAATGTGGGAAAGTTCAAGGGGACCAATCCTTTTGCAAACCACTGTATGGTAGTGGTGAGCTGTGTCATAGCCATAGTTCCTCCAACATTCACAGCTTCCATTATCATAATGCGCCTTTAAAGCTGGGGTGTCTCTGGTCTGACACCCTGCAGCGAACCACTACTATGGTTTGCGTGTGGTTCACAAATAGCTTGTAGGTACACTGCTGCCTCCTGCCAGAATGTGACATCCTCTAATGACATGGCAGAGAGAGATTTTAACACAACAAACAGACTCACACCCTTTGATTTTGTCATTTTACCTGTTCCTGCAGAATAAGGTTCATGCTCAGTTTCACTGTTTGGTTACCCCAGGCTTTAACTGGTGTAAATACGTTTTAACTGGTATAAACTGGTTTGTTTCAGGAGCAGAAGAAGCTTCTCTGTCTTGGCATTACTGGACCTGAAGGACATGTTATATCGCACTCAGAAGAGGTACGCACACCTGAGACACACTCCTGTGCAGATTGTGGCTGATGTGTTGGCATGTTGCATATTTCTGATGTGTGTTTTTGTGTGTGCTTCAGGTAGAGACTGAGGCAGTGTATCGGGCCATCACCATTGCCAAACAGTCCAACTGCCCGCTGTACATTACCAAGGTAATGAGCAAATCTGCTGCTGATGTCATCGCCAAAGCCAGGAAGAAAGGTGAGGGCGTCAGCTTCGTCCTTTTGGCCTTTAATCCAGATTTAACAGGTTTCATTCAGACCCTTATTTGGGGTCCTGAGCCTTCAGAGTCAGAGGGTGAATGCTGAGCTCAGCTGGTGGTCCTTCTGTTTCCCGGCTCACCCATCTCTACAAGGTCTTAAATAATCAGGCCCCATCTTATCTTAATGACCTTGTAGTACCATATCACCCTATCAGAGCACTTCGCTCTCACAGTGCAGTTGTTGTTGTTCCTAGAGTATTTAAAAGTAGAACGGGAGGCAGAGCCCCAGTGAAGCCCCAGATCTGTTGTTCAGTTTTTTCGTAAAGATCTGGCCTAATGTGCAATAGACCTTCTTCCCATAGCTTCGCTACCTACAAGTCATAGTTACAGTCTCACCAAACCTGAAAATGGAAAAATATATTACCAAGGGTTTCACAGCTGGCACATTTGCACTTCCACTTCTCCTGTAGGTGCAGGGTTCTTTTCTGTAGAGAAAAGGACAAGTCTCTTTGTCCATCAGTTACCAAGGTCTAAATAATATCACCATCCAAAACAAATATCCACTCCCCCCACTGCTGTCTCCCCCTTTTAGATAGATTTTTTTATTTTATTTCAAACATGCAAATATAACTAAAATAACAAGAGAAAAAACAAAACTTAAAAAACATCAAGTTTGAATGTACAGTGTTCTTTAAACTGTGAAACACCTTGCATCTCACTCCAAAGAAGAGGATGAGTGGAAGACTGCATTTAATAAAGATTTAGGACATTTTGAATACCTCGTAATGCCTTTTGGATTAATCTGTGCACCATCTGTGTTTCACATGGTCCGTGACTTCCTGAACTGTTTCTTCTTTGTCTACCGAGATGATATACTAGATTTCAATCCAGGGGGGCCTTCTTCCCAGGCTTTAATTTCACAATTACCCATCGACCAGGTTCTTGGAATGCAAAGCCCGATTTTCTCTCTGAGTTTCACTCACCTCCAAGATGAAGTCACTGATCTGAATTGCCAAAAGGGATGAACTTTATCCAGGTGGGGGTCCACCCAACCAGCTGTATGTTCCATCCAACATCCATTAATGAGTCATCCACTGGCTCCATTCCTCTAAGTTGGCTGCCATCCCAGTAAGAACCGGGCTATCACTCTTCTTCAACGCTCCTTCTGGTGGCCGTCCTTGATCAAAGAAGCCTGGTAGCATTTTTCTGCATGTCTTCTGTGTGCTCAAAACAAATCTGTCAGTTCACCTCCAGCCAGCCTCCTGCACCCTCTTACAACCTCAGAACAACCTTGGTCTCACATCCCAGTGGACTTCATGATTGGTCTGCCTCCCTCGGACGGTAAAACAGTCCTTCTCACCATCATAGACTATTTTTCAAAGGCTGTACATATTTTCGCCCTCTCCAAACTCCAGTCTGCGCTAGAAGCTGCTCAACCCCATGGTCCACCATGTTTTCTGATTTCACGGTATATTTCAACACATTGTGTCATATCGTGGCCCACAATTTACACCTCGTGTCTGGAGAGACGAGCAGGTGAGCTTGTCTTCTGGTTTCCATCCACAGACTAAAGGGCAGGTGGAGAGGGCACGTCAGGAGCCGGAGGCTGCTCTTCAATGTCTTGCATCCTCCAATAAGGCAACTTGGAGCCAACCAATTTCTTGGATCGAATTTGCTCACAATTCGCTGGCATCTTCTGCTACGGGTTTGTTATCTTTCAAAGTGTCTCTGGGCTACGTCTGTTTCCAACTTTTGAAGGTGAGATTTCCTTCTGTTCAACTTCATGTCCGTCATTGCCGCAGGATCTGGAGGGCCACTCGAGCAGCCCTGTTATGGACAAAAGAACAAAACAAGTTTCCTGACAGCCTTTGGCGTACCACTGTTGCTACCTATCACCCAGGTCAGAAGGTATGGTTGTTCTTAGATTCTGACATTCTCAGGTCAGAATCTGATTAATACACCTAGCAGAGATTTGGTTGTTAGCCGGTTCCTATTTATGCTGGAAGAAGGCAGTCTCTGAATGTTTGTGACGCTGGGCTTCCTCCATATCTGGTCATTTGTCTCCTTCGTTTGCCAAACCAGCCACTTACCCTCTGCTCCTGTTCACGCAGGAATCCTGGACTCTGAGAGAGGTCTGAGTGACTGTTCTGGACTGTCAGTAGTTTGGTGCCAGTTTCTAGAGTTGTCGCTGGCCACACCTGTGGCTTGGATCAGGAGCCTCTGGATTTCCAGCTGTCCTGAAACACAACATTTACATTTTTCTGGACTGGATGTCGAGCTGTCTGAGCTTTTCATTTGGTGAACTAACCACCATGTTCAAGTCATACAGAGAAAGGGGTCACCTAAGCCAGTTTACTTTGACAGACTGCACACAGCTCTGGGGTAACTTGTTACCATAAACAACATCCCCAGCCTCAGGTACTGATACTTTAAAAGCAACTTGGTGCCCTAAAGTTGAACTTTTTTGTCCTCAGGCATGGTGGTGTATGGGGAACCAATCACAGCTGGCCTGGCTACCGACGGCTCCCATTATTGGTCGAAAGACTGGGCCATAGCTGCTGCCTTCGTCACAAGCCCGCCCCTTAACCCTGATCCTTCGACTCCGCAGTACTTGACCTCCCTGTTAGCATGGTAAGCATTTCATGGGGCGATCGTGGCTCAAGAGTTGGGAGTTCGCCTTGTAATCAGAAGGTTGCCGGTTCGAGCCCCGGCTCGGAAGGTCTCGGTCGTTGTGTTTTTGGGCAAGACACTTCACCCGTTGCCTACTGGTGGTGGTCAGAGGGCCCGGTGGCACCAGTGTCCGGCAGCCTCGCCTCTGTCAGTGCGCCCCAGGGTGGCTGTGGCTACAACGTAGCTGCCATCACCAGTGTGTGAATGTGTGTGTGAATGGGTGGATGACTGGTTGTGTAAAGCGCTATACAAATACAGGCCATTTACTACCCCTCACCTGAACCATTGAGATGTCACAGGTGACCCTTACAAGTGCTTGCTGTGTGTTTTCCAGTGGAGACCTCCAAGTAACCTCCAGCGCTCAGGCCAGCTTTTCCACCGCTCAGAAAGCTGTTGGTAAAGACAACTTCACTTCGATTCCAGAGGGAACTAATGGCATAGAGGAGAGGATGTCTGTGGTCTGGGACAGAGCAGTGGTAAGAAAACTTGACCCTCAGTCTCATGGTATCATCAGTGTGAATGTACTGATTCTCCTCCTCCTGATCTCCATCTCTCTGCTTTTACTGTGAGTCCCAGCATTCATGCTGTTTCCACTGTGTTTCTCAGGCCACTGGAATGATGGATGAGAATGAGTTTGTTGCAGTAACCAGCACCAATGCTGCAAAGCTCTTCAGCATGTATCCACGAAAAGGTATGACGTCAGTCACAGGTAAATGTAAAGGATAAATACACCAGATAAATACTGGAGACATGTTTCTGGGACAAGAGGACAAATTTCAGGGGTGTCAAACATAGGATAGGTCAGGTGAAGACTCCAAGCCACCTCATTGGATGGCACTGAAAATGTGAATAAATATATATAAACCTTTTATGAGTGTTAACTGTATTTTCACAAGTCTTACAACTTTTGCCACTAATGAATCATACTAGGTCAAAGTAATTACGTAATAAATAAACAATTCAGTGACAATGGACAACAAGTTACCAGATTTTACACAAGCATGTCTTACAGCCCAAAGAGATGTGCTGACAAATTTCTTTCATTTACTACAGCAGCATTTCTTTTTCATCCAGAAAAATTGAGATACATTGCTAAAATTGCTCTTTTTAATAATTCGATATCTCAGAGATTGGCATGGTTAAAACTTCTTTACACTCACAGAGAAGAGAGATTCTTTGGATCAGTCCAAGGACATACCGGCTTTACATCACAAAACACTCCAGCCATCCTGAAGAACAATCTTACAAAGTCTTGCAGCCCTTTCTTCCCCAAACATTAGCTGTTTTTAAGGATTGATGCTTCTGTACACTCAGGTCGGATCGCTGTTGGATCTGATGCTGATATTGTCATCTGGAATCCGAAGGAGACACGAATCGTTTCTGCAAACACTCACAACCTGGTAATAACACCGCTATAAATCATTTACATCTAGGGTCAAACCTCTTCAAAACTTCTCATCATGATCAATTTCCTGTGTGCAGAACCTAGAGGTCAACATCTTTGAGGGTTTGGAGTTTCGGGGAGTGGCATCGGTGGTGATCAGCGGCGGACGAGTTCTTCTGGAGGACGGAAAACTCAACGTGACCGAAGGTTCAGGACGCTTCATTCCCAGGAAGGCTTTTCCTGATATCGTGTACAAGAGAATCAAAGCCCGTAGCAAGGTAACCGGCAGTTAGCGGCCGCTGAGAGGTAGTTAGTGACAGATGCATGGTAACAGCCTCCACCTGTCCAGTAGGCTAAATGATCCAGTAATCTGGAGGTTTATTTCTTCCCGTTTCAGATGGCCGAAACTCGCGGTGTCCCCCGTGGAAACTACGATGGTCCAGTCCATGATGTCATCAGCATGACTAAATCAGTCCCACCCACCCCGACCACCAGGGGGCCCCCATGTCCAAAAACCCTGACTGGCCCCCGAAATCTCCACCAGTCGGGATTCACCCTCGCAGGTGCTGTTTTCTGGTCAATAATCTGACCAGTGTAAGGTTAGCAATAAAAAACACGATAACAGTGACACTGAAATGATCATCTTCTTGTTTTTCTGTCCAGGAACTCAGATTGATGACCACATACCACGGCGCTCTGCTCAGAGGATTGTGGCACCTCCTGGTGGACGATCCAACATTACGTCATTATCCTAAAACTGGAAGAATGAAGCAGTCGCTGTGAGACTGTCCAACAGTCCTTACAATGACTACTAGCGCTTCATAATAGTAATATTTCATCATGAACTCAAATGCAACCCTCCAAACAACCCTACAGCTAGTGTTAAAATCTTAAACTACTAAATCCTAAATTGAAAGCTCCTGAGTCGTCTAATTGTACTTTTATAAAGCTGTAGTATTTCAGCTAGTAGAAAATGACAATGCAACTCGATAAATACCAGTAAGCCCTGCTTACACTGAACTACTTCACGTTTCTAAGATAGCAGTACTCCAGCATATAAAAGCATCAAGTACAACTAAGACTGCAAGTTACTAAACAATAGGGGTGCAACGATACACAAAATTCACGGTTCGGTTCGATACTTTGGTGTCACGGTTTGATATTGTTTCAATACAAAAAAAGTTCATGCTTTTTTAATTTGTCATTTATTAAAATTATAAATAGATATTTTAACTCAAAAGTACAGTTTTTAAATTTAATGTTGCTGAAACAACAAAAATAATAAATCTATCTGATGGAGGAATCCCTCATCTTTGGAAAAGAGAGTTTATTACAGAGAAATGGCTCTTTCCAAAATAAAAGCTCTACTATACGCTTCTTCTGGGCTATATTCTCAGCAGCATATTAAACATATCAGGTCCCCATAAGGAGAATCCTGTGCTAACGGCTGTCTAAATGACTCGGGTAAAGTTTGTAGCATGCTGCTTGTTGTTTTTGTCTGCTTCCACTTGTCTTTGCACTAGGATGATGTCGGAGTAAATGTGCAGTCATATTCGTTGTGTTCCACTAGTGCTGTCAGCGTTAATCTGAAATGACCTTAACGCCACAACACGGCAAATCTCCGTTAACGAGCTGCCGCCGATCGCCCCGTGCGTGGGGCTGGACGGCCAACACGTTAACGAGCTAACTGCGCTAACACACTAGCTCCCACCCATGTAATTGAGCATTGAGTGGCACATCCGACATACTGTTTTACTTTAGTCCATGACGCGCTTACCTTCAGGGTCATACGTCACATGAAAACCAAAATAGTTCCAAACGTCAGATCTGAATGAGGGTGGAGGAGGTTCAGTTTGCCATGTTGCAAGGAGAGCTTAGCTTCTGTCTCGCTAGCTTGCCCTGCGCTCAGTGAATCTGCGTTCGACTACTCCGCCTAGGCTGCACTGTCGAGCGCAGATCCACTGAGCGCTCAACACAGACAGCATCGTCAGAAGAAAAGTTGATAAAATAAATTAAAACTTTTGTATTGTTCGATACATATGCGTACCGAACCGAAAGCACTAAATCGAACGGTTCAATATCGATACGAGTATCGTTGCACCCCTACTAAACAAGTATTACATCAGACAGAGTGGTACCTCTACAAGTACTAAAGCTACCTGACATAAAGGAAGGGTTATAAATTATATGCCATTAGTACTTCAGCTAGTATTTAACCCAGTACAAACCCCACAGTTACCACTAAGTACCACATCAGCATTAGAGCTGTTAGTACTCTGCCCTAAAACTACATAACGACTGTTTTACACCATACAGCAAATACTTTATTCTATAATAGTACTTTACCTAGAACTATGACCCTATAATACTTTAGCCTACTGACTCATTCTGCAGTAGAAGCCCAACAGCAACCCCTACAGTGTTAGTGTAACTAGTACTACACCCTAGAAACATGGTACTGAATGTTTTTGGTATTCTCATCTTCATGTCATTATTTGTCACTCCATCTGTTCTGTCAGCTCTGATAAATGCAGTAGTTGTAGTTTCAGTCGTAGTAGCAGAAGTATAACCGAACATTTGTGCTTTCTGTAGTGCTCTTTGATTAGCAGGACATGGTCATGCCACTTCATCGTGAGAGAACTGTCGCAGTCGCACCAGTATTCCTTCAGGTCAGGTTTCTGTTCCAGGTGGAAGCTCCTCTGGTTGCTTTCAGCTGTTGTCTGCGACAGCTGGTTGTGTCAAATGCTTCTGCTTCCTGTTTGTTAGACAGGACTCGTGCCTGTCCGAGTGCCCTTCTAATTCATTCATTTAATGACGTTCGGAAAATCTCCGAATCAGAATTAAACTCCTTCAGATTCATGCAGATGTTCTCTTCTCTGGCTGTGAATGGTGCTAAGAAATCCAGATAGCCTGCAAGTAGCAATCCCTACAAAGCCCACCTCCCAAAGGAGGCTAGCACAGCCACATAATATCATTGCACTACAGCTTGATCTGATCTGCACATTCTCAGTAGGATTTCTGACTCTTTCATTGGACTTTACATAACGGCCATTTTTCTCCTTCTTGGAGTGAAACACCGGGGCGAACGCTGAGCCACCAGTTAGGGTTACGTCCATGATCAGATCCTGCTGTAAGTATCCACCATGACCTCTGACCTTTGTCCTCTGATGACCTCAGATTTTTAACAGTGTGTTAGACTTGTACAAAGTTCATTTTGTATTTTTTACACTTTTTGTATCCTGGAAGTGTTAGCATCAGTTAGCTCACAAGTGTCCATGCAGCCCATGGCAATCATGTTTGTGGCAGGCTGTTGCTATAGTAATAAGATGTTGTTTTTCATCTGCACAGCAGCTGGTCAGTCTAGTATGAAGCCAGGCTCAAAAATGGTATCTGTGTCGTGCAGTGTGTTTCTGTAGCAGTCGAACATCTTTCCGTCCTTACAGGTGCACCGGAGCCAGCATAGAGGGCATGAAGTCCTGGTGCACACAGGTCAACATTGTTGTTGTTGTTTTGTTGGTGAATGAAAAAATTTGTTCCAGATGTGATGAGAGCTGCATGAATAAAGGAGGAAGAGAAAAACTGACCATAGAGATGTGTGTTTCCTGAATGTGATGGAATCTTCATCATTCAGACTGAAGTAAGAGCGCTTCAGCGAGCAAGTTTCTATTTTAAGTAGAAATCCAAACGGCACTCGGCCTTCTTCTGGTTTTGGATCCAGGTCCGTTCCTGACACCTTCCATGGTTCAGCTTGTGGGGGGATGTATCGAGTGTGTCGCAGAGTGCGAGGTTTAAGATCAGATTCATTCTCCTAAAACTGGAGACTCTTTTATGTCCTACATCTTTTAAACGACAGCTTAAGTTGATTTAGATACTTTAGTCATTTTGACTACACAAGGAAAAGGGAAATAAAAAGAAGATTGGACTGAGAAGAAGCAGGATTTGGTCTCATCCAGGTAACGGTAAAGCCTGGGGTTTTGCACTACAAGCTCTTTCGCCTCTCACTGGGGTAAATAACTATAGCACAGGGGAGGACAAAAT